TTACTTAATATCCAGATTGGAAATCTAAATTTTTTGAGCCAATAAATGAAGAAATCACATTTTATTATAAAAGTGTATCATTATTTACAAAAGTTTTCAAAAGGAGCTCCAACAGAGCTCTACAGATTGTAACAATGTCAATTTCCCACTTTTAATATTGCACTAAGGTTATGTAAGATCTTATCACTAGAGGAAACTGGGAAGGTACAGATGATACCTCATTGTACTATTATTGTAATTTCCTGTGAGTCTATACTTAATTCAAATTAAAAGGTTAATTTAAAAATGAGCAGCAACATATCTAGACTAGTTTAACATATAAAAACATGTTCTAGAAAACAATGCATGTTTTCATAGCTAATATAAAAAAGTAGTTCTAAAACACAACACTGAAACGTAATATAGTATTATATATATTTAATATTTACACTATAGTGCCACTTCCCTCTACTGGGTGCCAGCAGATGCCAGCAATGGAAGATATTGAAAATTCTGTTCCAATTTCAAGATCCAAAGCTAACTGATACAGCTTCCAATTATCTACTTTACAAAGCACCTAACAGTTCTCTAGCAATTGTCACTTGAAACAGCTATCAGAGAACAATGAAAAGTATTATTGCATAAATATAACCTCTTTTCCTTAGGGAAAAAGGATTATTTTCCTGCTGCTTTAAAAGAACTCAAAAAAAGATAAATCAGTAAGTTCAAAGAGCAGATTTTAAAATATTGTGCAAACTATGAGCCATCCCACTAACATTTTCTTATTTTCAGGATAGAGAGTAATGATGTCCTTTAAGAAAAATTATTGGAAAATCTTAATCTCTTGATTTTGCTAGAAGATTTCACAACTTATTACAAGAATAAAACATATCTAGACAATATCTAATATCTAGACAACTTAAAGTTAGTGACTGGAGCTTTTTTTCCTAAATAAATCTAAAATAATTTGCCAGAGAGATGGCAAAAATAAGAGGTAGGATAATTCAATAGAAGACCCCTCAGAATAGCTTAACATCAAACACGACTGATGCAAAAAAAAAAAAAACAACCACAAAGAGCTTCATTTTTTAAATTTATGTTACTATTTATCCTGAAACATTTTATTACAAAATATGAATACTTAGCAAAATTCAGCTAGTCAAAATATTAATGTGGCAAAAACTGAAAAATTTCCCACTTTTGGGGAATCAAACAGGACGAACAATCTATTCAAATCATCAAAGTTAGAGCTATGTAAGAAATAGTTTAATAATAATTTTACACACCAGCTAAAATTTTTAAATCCTCATCAATTTAGTAGTATGCAAGATAATATTTTTTAATATTTTTTCCTTTGGTATAAAAATGGTTGATTCCAAAACCCATGGAATGCCTGGTCAGGGACAGAGATAATTGCCACTTCAGCTTTGAAAACACTGGAAGAGCGTGACCTGATCTGATCTACACAGACTTTCACACTTTAAGCTGGAGCCTCTCAATAATTGGGCTGAGATCTCACTTTTCTCACACATTTCACATTACAATCATCTTGCTTTCTCCTCTCAGTTATTATTGCTGATTTTTCTGCCACAAATCAGATTTTCTCCCAGGGAATAGTGGCCTGCATTTAAATCACTCAACAATCACTCAGATGCCCCAAGACTTTCAAATTCTGCTGGAAATACAACAAAGAATATCAATTCATTTATTTTCTAGATGATTTGATTCATTTTAAACTGAGAATATAATCAAGATTTAATTGGGGGCAGTCTAAAGACTATATAGTCTTAAAAGACTATACACTCAGGAATCAGGCTTTGGTTTAAACCCTGGCTCTACAGTTTCTGGCTAAGTGAGCAAGGTTACTTAACCTCATTAATCCTCTGCTTTAGTAGCGGGGTGGGGAAAGGAGGCAGGATAACAATAATAACTTCCACAAGTGTTTTTATGACAAATTGTACAACAGTCATTATAGTAAGTGGTCAATAAATGCTGGCTATGATTACTATTTACTCTCTTATGCCCAGTTCCTAAATAAAGCTTAATATATAAATGTCATTGAGAAGAGGAAAGAATATTAGAAATTTTCAAGATAAAAGAGTTTTGACTTCCCATGTCCTCTAAAGAAGGCAGGATTCTATCATGCAATGTTCTATTACTCCTTACACAGTAGAGTGAATTTAGTCAATTATCTAACTATAGAAATACTATCCTTTTTATTCACTTACTTAACAAGTTATGAAAAAGAGGCAGTAGACAGCCTATATTCTGACACAAGAAGGACATGTTTCAAATATTATTGTATGACCCTGGACAAGTTATTTAACTTCTCTGTGCTTCAGTTTCCTTGACTGTAAAATGAAAAGTAATAGTAATTATTCTCATAGGTACCACCTCAAATGGTGTCCAGAGCAGATGAGTGCTATGTAAAGATTAAGCAGCTTTGTGCTCCAAGCTCTGTCTTAAATGCTGGAGATTCTGGGAAAATGACACAGTATTTGCCTTCAATGGGGTCAAGACAGAAAACTGCAGTATAATTTGCCAAATTTCTACATATGAGGAAGGCTTGAATCCCTGAATGTATAGAGAAATGGCTTCCTTTGTGACAAAAACTGATATTTAAAACAAAAATAATGAAAATTAGCATTCATGGTGGGTGATGTATATTCCTTGGGTTTTGATGTATTATGCTCTCTACTTTTGTGTATGTTGGAGGTTTTACATGATAAAAATTGTTTTTCAAAATGATACATTTTATTTTCTCTTTCAGAAGATAAGCCAAAACTATGTAATGTGAAAGACTTCCTTTAATACTCATGTTTTATCCTACAAATCAACTTTGTCAGCAGCAGTGTTAAGAATGCAGCATTTTCTTGACAACACTGCCACCTACTGGATTACTTTTAATCACACCATTTACATTTTGTAATTTTAACACTAAATACCACATATGACCCAATAAAAGGCAAAGTTTTCTTTTTCCCAAAAAAACAGGTAAATATGAATATTTACAAAATTTCCTATATAACAAGAAATTCTGTCATGTTGAACAATGCATTGTTTAGGGAAGACCCATTAGCCTGGAGCAATCTCAATTCATTTCAGTTTGGCTACTGATAGAAGTAATCAGACAAAATGAGTGAAAAAGGAAGCAAAGAAATTTAGCATGGATTTAGTAATTATTGCTAGATCTATATGGCTGTTTGTAACTTCATCAACATTAGTGTTATTAAAATAAAAGCAATAGAGTAATTATTCTATATGGGATATATATTTTTAAATACCCTAGAGATAAGCAACTGGATACTGTGGCTTTGATTAAATTTCTATAAAATGCTTTATTTCAAACAACTTCATATAAGTTGAGATAACTTGGGGGGGAAATTGTTTGCTTTAAGATTATCTAAAAAGCAGCTTAAGTGATGATGGGCACACTGATAATGGAGATGATTGAGGAACATCTGAATGAAGTTCTGACAGTGGGAAAAAGAAATGTTTCTAAGTTATTATTTTGTGTAATATATTTAAAGTACACATTTAAATGTTTAACCAAATTAACAAATAAAACATTATAATTAGGCATTTAACCATTTCACCTATATGCATTAAGGATTCTATGTCAAGTTGAACTTGTATAGTATAGGCCATTAGAGTAAAAACATAATATGCCATTTAACCATAAAATTCCATGACTCTTAAGTATTATTAAAAGTTAAATTACTCAACAACTAATACCTTTTTGTCTGTGCTACTACAGATTTATTCAATGGAAAAGATGCCCTTTGTTATCCACAAATAAGTGTTGAGGCATATTAATGACATGGGATTGGAAGGGTACTGGTAAATTCTGGGACAATTTAAGCACCGAAACCACTGAGCAAAATAGTAATTATACATGATGGGGGGAGGACGTGTGGGGAGGGAGCAGCAACATTTAGGAAACTATACCAAGAATTAATAGATAAATAAATGGTAAAGAAGGGAAAGCTCACTGACTGACTAGAAGTGTGGAGAATATGGAAAATTATTATTTTGCAACCATCATAGTAAAAACTAGGTAAGACAAGAATTATGAATGAATACTAAATCAAGGAAGAGATTTGGTGGAAAAATATTTTCATGTAATAAGACTGCTTACTAATTATAATGGGAGGGGGGAAAGTAATTACAGTGGATAAATCAGACAACATGACTAAGTAATCAAAAAAAAATCACCAGCAAGAGATAAATAGGTTATCAAATACCTACAAATGTTATTCATTCTAAAGGAAAAAATACTATTTAAGCAACAATAAATAATCTAAATCTAATCATGAGGAAATATTAGCTAAACCCAAATGATCATGTTATATGAAAAAGAGGGGAAAGGGATGTATTCTTCAAAAATGTAATTGTTATAAAAGATAGTAAAACTATGGAAATGTTTCTAGAGTAAAAGAAAGCTAAAGTCATACAGAAGCTAAACTAAACATTTGATTCTGATTCTAGAGTAAATCCTGAATTAGAGGGAGGAAAGGACATTATTGGGTTAACTGACAAATTTGGAGATAAAAATTACTATGTGAATGCTAAATTTATGCAAGTTGACACACATATTGTACTTAATAAAAGATATTCTTTGGAAAGACACATTTTCTAGTGAAAGTATGTAAGAACAAAAGGGCCTACTCTTAATTTGTTCAAAAAACAATTTTGTGTATTTTCCCCATAAACTGACATTTTTCCATGAAACATTATTTCAGTTTCAATAAAATTACATCTAACTTATTAAGAGGGAGAAGCATTATTCTCATCCCTATTTTTTTAATTGCAATAACAAGGTTAAAGGTATAGCATCACACTCAGGCATCTGTTACCACACCACACCCACTATCAAGGCATCCTCATTTTTAAACAAAGAAAATGAAGTACAGTGAAAAGCCACAGTAAGTAATGTTGTTGAAATTAAAAAGAAATGACTGTTACAACACAGTAACAAAGTCAATACAACTTTTTGGTAGTATTTAAGAAAATTTGTTTACCTTTCAATAGCTAATTCTTTGTTAGAAAGTTGCTGGACTGTAATCACCACCTTCTTCTCTATTCCTTGTTTTAATTTGAAATAAAATTTATCTCTATCCTTAGGCACAGGACTAAAATGCGGGGGGAGGGAACATAAGTTATCAATATATTAATACAATAAAATGGTAACTTATTCCAATGTCAGAATGAAACATCATTTAAGCAACAACACTCTTATTTTTAAAATGTAATAAACTCATCTTGTCACAAAGTAACCAACTACAAATTTTAGTCACCGAAAGTATTATTAATTTTTAAATTTGACTTACAAGCCTTATATTTTATCTCCAAAAACCAAGATATTTTAAGTTTCAACATGGTACCTCAAATTTAATTTATAAATTTAACAAATTTAGGAAAGGACTTATTTAATTTTTTTTTTTAAAGACTGTCACATTTCCGGTTTAGCTGGTTGTGTGGTATGAATACTTTTAACACAATGAAACCCAAAGTAAAAGGAAGTGAGAAGAGCTTACTTTAAACACCTAGAATTTGAGATCACTAGCTAAGTAAATATATGTAAAAGAGGGAGATAGGAATTGGAGCAAGTTAAATTCTTGCCCAGGCCAGAATGAATTGTCTATCATGAAGAACAGATTGGAACTTTTAGTGGTGAACTGAATTTATACTGATGCATACCTGAAACTTACAAGTTACGATGCAATGTTACTTCAACACAATTTAATTCATTAAGATGATGAACACTTAAAATATCTTGAAAAACTAACCTATCCTGAGATCCAACTTTTTTATCTATAAAAAAATAGATAAAATACCTATCTAACAATAAATATTAGAATTAAAGGTACACAGATGATCATTAAGTAGTAAAAGTATTTCCTGTTATCTAGAGAAAAACATTCTTAATAATATAAGGAAATGGTTAATTTAAATTGATGGACAAAACACACAATATATTTTTAGTAACCATTAAAAATTATTTTAACATTTTACTGCAAAAATTCTTATAAATTTAAAAGAAGGTATACACATAAAATAACAAAAATAAACAAAAGGAATAAATCAAATATTAGAAAAGATTGTGGCTAATAAGACTACAACTTTTCATTCTACTTAATCATTTTACTATATTTTCCATAATACCAGTATTCTTTAAATATTAAAAAAACAATTTACATAAAATATCCGAAAAGTATGAGAATGAAACATATTTACCAGTCAAATGTATATAATTTTGAAGCTTTATAAGAACATTTATGGTCCAAAACCTTTATTTAGCCAGTATTTTATTTTAAGCACAAAGTCAATTTTCATTATTGTCAAATAACCTCACCTAAAGTTTCCTTTTCCATCATCTTCTTTTACCTCCAAAGAGACACTGAAGGTATATACATCACTGTCAGGGGTAGGAATAATTGAGTCTTTAACATCAGACACTTGTTTTGAAGAACGTTTGAATGCTGTACAGAAGCTATACAAAATTCTGCTTACCTAAAAATAAAAATAGAAATTACATCAGGGAAAGCTTTTAACTATATTCTGATAACTTTCTCTCCTAATTCCTGAATCTATAACTTTCTAAGGTGGCAATTTTCTTTACCAAATAAAGATATAGTCTAAACTTGTGTTATATGTGTATACATATATGACTTACACATTGCATTATTATGTACTTAATTTTATATATATAATATATAGTTTGTTTCTTTAAATTCTGGCATTTAAACATGATTAAAAAAAAGATATTGAACCAATTTAAGTTCACAAAACAAGTTAACAAGCTATAATTATAGAGGATTCTAGACCTCATATACATGGGATAAATAAATTCTAAGATAATTACCACAATGACACTACCATCGAACTCTTCCTGTCAACCACACACAAACAATGTTTTAGCCCACGTCCTCAATTTCTTTGTTCACTTCCCTCAGCTTCACAGAGCTAGATACTGAGATCCAGAGAATAGCAAATACTGGTTTTAGCAATAAACATGGTACATGCTTTAAAGAACTTCTAAGGCTATTACTCAGTGTTATAGTAAAAATGCATTGCAAGATTCCCAGAAGGAATGTTGAAACAGTCGTATCACTCTATTAGTATTAAATCACACTGGTGACTACTTAAAAAATATTTGTATGTGTTTATCAATGGCTCATATTCTTCCCCTAAAGTGGTGAAATACTCTAAATCCCACACTCTTAAGTTATTCTCTTCCTTGGTTCCAAATGAAGCATCATTCCATCACAAATGTGTAAGCTTCAAAAACACAAGGACACCAAGGGGTGAAGAGTGAAAATAGTATGAAACAAGTGTTTAAATAATGTCATATTTTCAAAACCTCACATTGGAAGTACAAGTAAAGATAATTCTCTGAATGTTAACAAATCCTTCACTTTAGATAACATAAATTTTAATTATTCATTGAATTATGTTAGTCTAGGACTATAATGTTTTGCAATTTGTTTGAAACAAGAACATTTTAATCCACAGATTTCTTAAAGTTTGGGTCTTTCATCATTTTTCTACTTTTGTTATATTCACATATTTTCATATATACAATATATTACATTAAAAAGAAAAAAAAATCCAAACTTCCAATAGATCCAGAGATGAATGATTGCCCTAAACTGCCCTTATAACAAATTAATTTTGTTAAATTAAATGACTGAATAGTGTCTGCCAGCCTAACGTTCAACTCAGCAGTAGCATCATATTTATACCATAGTATTCATAAAATATTTCAAATATTTTAATATCCCATATTATTTTCATAAGTGAGTACAAAAAAAAGCAACAAAGTATTGATATCAGTAGGTTTAAAACCTCATACAATTAACCATTCATTCAACAAATATGTGTTGAACACCTGTGCACTAAATATCATATTTCATGCTAGGTATCCAGCAGTGAACATGTAGTTTACATAAATTGAATATGGTTGGGGTGGGTAAGAAAGAATAATTTGGTATGACAAAGCACAGATGTTTAATCTTAACTGAATATGCAGTGACTTAGTTCAATAATTTCTTATTAAGGAAAACAAAATCATAGAACATGATAGAAATATGTTGAAAATTTTGTCTACAGATAAAGAATCAAAAGATGTTATACTACTTTTTTTTTATTATTATTCTCTACTTAATCCCAAGTAAAATATGAAGTTTACTTTTGACATATTCAACATCGGCACATTTTTAAGAATGCAATATATGTAAAATAAGGGACTACTGTATATAATTTTTGATACACTAGTAGAATCAAATCCCAACCACATTTATTCTTTTTTTCTTCTCTCCTACCTCAATTCTATTTCATTTTCTTTGTGTCAGAGCTTTCAGTAAGCATGCCACATAAGGTTATATCAAAAAAGTCAAACAACTTGGAAAATTCTAAAATAGATAGTAAGGGTCAGAAATTTCTTTTCAAAAGAAAAGTCAACCATTAGGACTGAGCCAGAGTGGTAGGCATTAAGAAGGAAAAATCACTTTTCTTTTTGAAGGAAGGCTATAACAGTACACTGATTTCATTAGTGGCGATCAAACTGCATTTTTTCCTGCCTATATCTTATAAGTTTTTATTTCCAACAAAAGTGTTAAAATTTAATTTGTGAATTTTGGAGACTGTGAATAAGCTGAAATGGTAACCCATAGATTACTATGGTACAGTAGCTTCACAATGACTATTAAATTCTATTGTTATTGCAGTAAATTGGGTAACCAACTACATCATGAAAGAAAATTAAATATATATATATATACTATGGTAAATGCTGTATTAAATACACACACATACACACACATACAAACTATAATAGACATTTTCTTTGCAGAAGGCAAAGGCTTATTGACAATATTGTCCAAATTTCCCAAGAAGGCAGTAACAATATAAAAACTAAACAAAAAACTATCTGTTTGGGTGTGCTGCTGTCACTGTTGTCGTCATTGCTGTTTTGGGAGAGGTGGGGAGGAGGGTATGTGCAGATAAATGGAAAGGCAACACACTAATATATTTGGTAGAATTCTGAGTGACTTTTATTTTCATTCTTATTTTAATATGTTACAAGTTCTCAAACAAGTTTTACATGCTAACAGCTCAATATAATTAAACAATAAGGTACTTAGTTAAAATAAAAAGCATAGCAAATTTTTCCAAGATAAAGTTTTTTCACTAGTATTGGTGAAAGGATATCTACTTTTTTAAAAACATCATACATCAAGAACATGTTCCCCCAAGAAATAATATAAAAAATCATTTTGTGATAAATATTCTGAAATATGTATTAAAATTTTAAAACCATTTATTCAAATATACTACTCACAGAAAGAAGCTGAAGATAAAAAGATTTAAGTTGTGACATCAAAAACATAAAGTTTGGGAGCTCACGTTTATCATATTATTCAAAATAGCTAAGAGTTGGAAACAACTTAAGTAAACAATGAAAGATGTGTGGATAAAGATGTGGTATATATAAACACTGAAATATTATTCAGTTATGAAAAAAAAAAAAGATAAAGGGCTGTCCTGGTGGCCCTGGGGTTAAGTCTCAGCACTATCACTGCTATGGCCTGAGTTTGATCCCTGGCCAAGTAGCTGACCCACATATGGCACAGCAGACCTTTCCTGTCTCTCCCAATGCTTCCCTTAGCAGTGTATTTCAGTAAATCCACCTGTTCTGCTCTCCATTCTCTCTCTGGTGACTCCTCTCATCCCCCGCACCTCTAGCCTACACCCCAGTTCTTCTACACAAAAATAAATTTAAAAAAATTTTTTTTTAAATAAAACCCTGCCGGGCCTCCCCTGGTGGCACACGCAGTTGAGTGCCGCGCTGTGAAGCTGTCCGCAGCCTCTGCAGCGCCGGTTCAATCCCGGCCAGCCAGGGAGGGTCCCACATGGCGTGGCAGACCTCTCCTGTCTTTCCTGCTGCTCCCCTCAGCAGTGTATTTCATTAGTCTGCCTGTTCTGTTCCCCGCTCTGTCTCTGGTGGATCCTCTCACCCTCCCGCACATCTGGCCTATACCCTGGTTCTTATATAAATAAATAAATCTTTCAAAAAAAAAAAGATAAAACCCTGCCATTTGCAATGGCATCAATGGACCTAGAGGGTATTAGACCAAGTAAAATAAGTCAGAGGAAAAAAAGACAAATATATTATTTCATTCATATGTGGTAGATAAATAAGATGAATGAACAAAACAAAAACTGATTTTTATACTACAAGAATGAAATGGTCATTGTTAAGAAGGGAAGGGATAAACAGTGGATAAACTGATGAAAGGAGTCAACTGTATGGTGACAGATGGAAAGTGGAGTTCTGGTGGCAAGAATAATGTAACATAAACAGATGTTAATATATAATGCTGTACACATGAAACCTATAAAATGTTGCAAGCCAATGTTATTTTCCATTTAAAAAATGGGCAAAGGATCTGATTAGACTTTTTTTTTTTTTAATAGAGGCATATTTTATTTATTTATTTATTTATTTATTTGTTTGTTTGTTCATACATGCACTGGGTACAGTCAGAAGCGCGGGAGGGTGAGAGAATTCACCAGAGCCAGAGCAGGGAGCAGAGCAGGCAGAAGGACTGAAGTACACTGCTGAGGGGAGCAGCGGGCGGCAGGAGAGGTCTGCGCGCCATGTGGGACCCTCCTCCGGTGGCCGGGGAGCAGCCGGGGATCGAACCGGCGCTGCAGAGGCTGCAGGCAGCTTTGCAACCCAGCGCTCAACCGCTGCGCCACCGGGGAGGCCCTGATTAGACATTTTTCCAAAGACATATAGATGGCCACAAACTTCCAGGGATAAAATAATTAAGTCCTGGGAATGTAATGTGCAATGGTGACCACAGTCAATAAATACTGTATCATATACTTCAGAACTACTTAAGAAAGTAAAGGTTATATCAAAAAAGTCAAACAACTTGGAAAATTCTAAAATAGATAGTAAGGGTCAGAAATTTCTTTTCAAAAGAAAAGTCAACCATTAGAACTGAGCCAGAGTGGTAGGCATTAAGAAGGAAAAATCACTTTTCTTTTTGAAGGAAGGCTATAACAATGTAACAAATGTTACAAATGTTCTCATGACATACATACAAATGTTCTCATAACAAATGTTCTCATGACAAGAAAAAAAAAATCAAGCTGTAATTATATGTGGTTTTAGATGTTAGTGATCTATCATTTGAAAAAAATAAATATATACTTAATGATTATGTTATATACCTGAAATGTGATATATAGCAATTCTATCTCAATTAAAAAGAAGCTAAAATAAGAGGCATACCTTACAAGCAACTTTTTAAAAATTATAAAAATCTATTTATTGAAGAAAAACACTAACAATATAACCTCTGAATTATTTTTCAAAATAGGGCATTTTACTACAACATATTTCCATAAATATTCACTTAGAAATATTTTCTCATGCAACAAATAAGGTTTCCTTTTACATGATGTCATATCATCAACCATAAGAAAAGACAAAGCATTAT